CGTCTTGCTCGACGCTGACCCTCCAAGCCGCCCACCGGGGACCGGGGCCGACTCCCCGCGGACGGTCGTGGTCAGCGTCAGGCTGCCCCTGAGCGGACGGAACAAAACCTCTATGAGATAAATAGGGTGCCCTCCGCCCTCCTAATGTGACCAGTCCCCTGGTCAGCCCTGGCGCCTGGACGTGCACAGGTTTGCACCTCAGTAGACGGAAACAACACGAGCCTATGAGCCACCAACACTTTTCTTTTTTTTTTTTTCTTTCTATTCCAGTTTTTTTTTTTTTTTTTTGGTACAGGGTACAAAGTCCCCGGCACTTTTTAATATTTTGTGACAGGGATCTCACTAAGTTGCTAAGGCTGGCTTTTTTCTTTTTCTTTTATTTTTATTTATTTTTGGTACTGGGGATTGAATCGTGCGCTGGACCACTGAGCCACATCCCTCAGCCCTGTTTTGTATTTTATTTGCAGACAGGGCCTCACCGAGTTTGCTTAGAGCCTCATTTTTGCCGAAGACGGCTTTGAATTCGCGATCCTCCTTCCTCAGCCTCCCAGGTGGCTGGGATCATGCCTCCTCACCATGCCTCGCAAGCCATGAATACTTTCTACAGGTAATTTTAGGTAGGAGGAGGCTCAGGGGTATAGGTCAGTGGTAAAGAATTTACCTAGTCCTCAATTCAGTCCCCAGCACTGCCAAAGAAAAGGGAAAGCTTGCAGATCTCTGAAAGGCAGGAGAGGGGAGCTCTGCTCTTTAATCCTGGCTAGCATCCACGAAGGCTGGACTTGGAAACTGGAAAAGCTGTAAAATGTAATCATATCCTACTTATCCCAAGGGTGCTGTGAGAATTAAATGATATGGTCACACTGAAAACAACATTCAGATCATCCCATGGGATTTTGCTGAAAATCTTGCTGTTACTCAATAAGAACAAGCTCCCCTCCATACCCAGAATCAGAACAGAACTGAAACCCGGGTCTGTCCCACAAGCAAAAAGGCCCCATCTCAGCC